AATTTGTGTCTAAAAAAAAATCATTCTCGCAATTTTTTTAGCGGAAATTCAGCTCAATCAAATTAAAAGGTGTAAATTATGTGAAATTCAGCTGCATTCTTCATGATTCTTCAAATGTCTCTAGGAAGATGAGTGTCACGATAAATAATTTTAAGTGAAAACCTTCCGCATAAACATGCTTTCACGTCATATAGTTATTTGTTAATTCTTGAAAATAAAAAACTGTTCTATATATATATACTAGGGATTGTCCACGCGTTACATGAAGTTTAAAATTAATAATAATAATTTCTACTTATTAATTATTTTGTATTTAATATTATATAAATTTGGTGTTTATAGTAAATAATTATCTAAGTTATAAGACTAAGTATTTGTATCAAATTGTTAGACATATACAATGTTATATGACTTTAAAAGCTATGAAAGCATTTAAAAACGTTTAGGCTCTAAATTTCTCCGATTAGACTTGTTGGATTTAACAGCCCTAAAAATTATTCTTTGATTAATTTTCTCACATCATCTTTTTTTTGTTCATGTCATGATTCTTTTTATTAAAGCTATTCTTTTGTGATTTTTTATTTATTTTAAAATCGCAATAACCTTTATAAAAGGCAAAAAAATTACAAGTTTTTTGTATAGGATATTGTTGGATTTTATAAATAAAATATCTATTTTCTATACATTGAACTTTAAAAAATCTTACTATATTATATAAGATATATTGTCAAATCTACAATTTCAAAAGAGAATAAAGTTATTGAGATTCAATTTCCTCATTAGGGTCATCGTACATCCATGTTATTCTAATCTCATTAAATCAGTCTATGAATTCTGTTTCAAGAACTTTTCTATTGTTCCAGCTCCACTAAATTAAACATTTCATTTTAGTTATCGATATTTTTGGTACATATATATTTATATCTTCATGCATATGTTATTGAGTCGCTAGTTTTGAAAAAAAGCCATCAGTTATTCTATGATATGAATTAAATTGAACTAAATACACATTCCATATATATATATTAATTCATGAGTATCATCCATAAAATGATATGCTAAGTTATAAATAATAATCATGTTTACTCTATGAAAGGGCCGGCCCTGAGGGGAAGCAGGCCAAACCCGTGCTTGCGGCCCAAATTTTTTAATGTTTTGTTTATATATATTATTATCGGCCTATAAATATGCATAAATTTTTTTTACTTCAATTGGTTCATGGGCTACATGGAATAAAAAAAGAGGTGGAGAATTCGATTAGCCCTTCATTTGGTTTTTTTTTCTTTCAAAACATCAATAATTACCGGTCCAATTTTTTTTTTTGCTTGTGGCCCTTAAATTCTCAGGGTAAAATTACCAGACCGAATAGAAATTACTGAATCCAAACTCAAACCAAATTATAAAATAACTTGAATAGAATAGATATTTCAAAACTAAATTTTCGATCCCAAATCGAACCGAATCGAATTAACCAAACTAATCAAAACTTATTTTAAAAACTAATATTTGAAATTAAATATATATTAAAATATGCTAAAATACACTTACAATTTACAAGTAATTAA